TTGAATTGAGAAAGAATAAACCAGTTTCAATTAAGAAAGAACTTGTATCGCTAAGTTTTTTTTTCTTTTTTTGGAAAGAATTTCTACGGAAAATTAACCAACGACCAGAGACGTAACACTACTATTTATTCTTAATTTTATTAACTTGACTCATCATGCAGAAGAACTGGTGAGCCGGTAAGCTAGAAAAAACTAAAATAAAATTATTATATCAAATACATAAGGTCACTGTGATAGACAACAGGCGCTGGACTTTAAGCGGTAGGTGATTATTTCACATCAACTTACCAATTTCACAGCTCCAGCTCCAATCGACAATATTTCTAAGGAGATTACCAAAATCCTCAAAAACCGCGATGACAACATAATCAAGCTAGAAGAAAACAAAAGAGTTACTGTCTCCTGGAGAAAATATCTTTACATAACTGAAGCTGAGAGACGAGTGTAACCCTCTTTTATCATTATGTCTCTGATGCTAACATATTTTAAACCACGCAATCTCTGTCAAAAACATGCGTTACTGACTTAATTAATCAGCAACAATTTTCTTCAGTTTGAAGCTTGTAATCTTGTACTACCCTATCCTTCTTCGATCTAGAGCCTTTAATCTTGTACTACCCTATCCTTCTTCCATCTAAAGCCTTTAATCTTATACTACCCGATCCTTCTTCTCTCTGAAGCTTATAATTTTGTACTACACGATTCTTCTTCCATCTGAAGCTTGTAATTTTGTACTACACGATCCTTCTTCCCTATGAAATTGTCATACTGTACTGCCTAATCCTAGATTATCTGTTTTTTCTACTCCCCCTAATCAATAAACCCAACAAATTTGACAGACCCATCGTTTCTACATGTAATATTCTCACTAAAATTATTTTAAACCTTCTAGATCGCATATTTTCCCCTATTCCTCAAACACTTCCTCACTTAATTAAAGATTATTCTTATGTATTTCAAAAATTGAGCATTTTCCATTTCTTTAGTAGCTCTTGCATTTTTATTCACTGCCCACATTTCTAGTCTTTACACTGTAATTCTACACAATGAAAACTTTAAAGCTATTAAATGTTTCCTTGAAAAAAAGAAACAAACAAACTCCTTCCACCAATATGATTATTCGTTTAATTAATTGATCCTCACCATGAATTACATTACTTTTTTTAATAACATAACACACAAACAGACCCATAGAGACAAAACTGGGACCTTCTTATGCACATTTGTTTCTTGACCACGTTGAACATTGTGATATTTTCCTACTCGTGTATTTCCCTCAAAGTAGCCAGTCAACGTGCACTAACTGGAGGTTCGAAGGTTATCATATTATGAAACGTGTTTGTTTGTCTTTCTGATCTGTAAATGAATTCATCGGGAATAAATGTTCGAATCACAGAAGGTGCACAAAATTATCTTTATTTACGAATGTCAACACGATCACCAACAAAACAGCAAAAAAAATTTGTGTGTTTATTGTGACTGTGTTGGACTGGTATAAGAGAGAATTTAAGTGAAATTTTAAAGCTCTTTCTCACCAGTCCACTACGTGCCCTTCTATAAGTTAAACTAGAATTATGCAACAGTTAAATTAAACCCAAAGTTAAGTTAAAACAAAATAATGTGATAAAATACTGTACTAAAACTTTTAAACAAAATCAAAGTTATAATAAACTAAAAACCCTAAAGAAGTATTGAGCAAAACATTTTGCCCAAATCTCAGTTCAATTGCATTATATAATCAATGTCAAAAGTAAAGTTGCAATTCAAATCTAAGTTTAAAAATTCAGCAAAAGCTCTGAAAAATCTGCTAGAATACAAAAAATGACAAGTTAAGCCAAGTATGCACATGAAACGCTATTCTGCACATGTTTCTTTCTAATTGTGATTATTACAGGGGCGAGGAAGTCCCCAGGCCATTGCTCAATTCGCTGATTAAAGAAGAATCTTGATATTCTTTGACATCATCTGCTATGTTACATACAAGAAGTTCGGTTGATTGCCAATTAGCAGTCGAGGTCCTGGACAAAGCGAGCAAGAAGCAAAGTTAAGAGGTGTTTACTTGACTGAGTTTCCACGTCCAAACTGAACTAAAAGAAAATACATTTTTTAAAAAGTACATGTTAACTTAGGAAGTAAAAAACACATGGTAATGCGCTGTACCACAACAACAACTTGTACCTTCACCAAATTTCAGGGAACTACGTTAAATGAAGTTGTGTTGCATAAGTTTCTAAATTTCATTTCCATCTTTCACTATTGCTTGAACTTCAGTTGATATGTTTCTCAACAGCCAGACACTTTCCTTGTTATTAAACGTCACCTAATTAATTTTATAATTTTTTTTCAGGTACACTGTACAATGATATTAAGAGTAAAAGACAAAACAAAGTTTTTTGGGCACAATGAATAATAAAATATTTATTAGATATTTCAGCCGACTAGTTACCATAATTTTTCTATTTATAACATTTCTTTCACTTATTTCGATAATTTTCTCAAAAATATTAATTATTTTTGCATTCTTTGTAAACCCATTTTTATAATTGCTTAATGATTATATCAGGATTGTGAAGCACTAGCCTTCGAACGTTGTTTTCGTAATGCCAAATGTATACTTTATTATATTAAATTTATGATTATTTAATCCTGTTACAAGTACTTAATAGTTTTTACATTATTTAAATAAATAAATATCTATTAATAGGCAACTGCTCTTATTTTAGTAAATATGTGTTTCAAACTTTATCGTTATTTTCTTCTTCAACAACAACTAAAATACTGTTGCGTCAGCGAGGTCACGTGTACCTTCGTGAATTGTCGGGAGATTACTATATATAGGGTAATCTGGTATATATATAACAGGGTGACGGCGTAACGCAATAATGTGTGTGAGGGT